AGGTGGTGGTGGGACCGCATCAGGCTGAGGATGAGTTCTGGCTGGCTGATGTTCGGGATGACTGCATCATCGGGTTGGATCTACTGACCCATTGGGGGCATGCATCAATGTTTGTGGGAATACTTTGCACAAGGGTGCCAAGGCGATTCCTCTTCAGGAGGGGAGTGATCCTCAAAGGAAACTACAGGGAACCAGGGTGGCCCAGTTGCTGGTTCAGCTCTTTGGATCTGCGCAGCGGTTATTGTCAAGTGGAGTTAGCACCGGAGGCCAGACCTAAAACGGAATTTACTATTGGACAGGGACTGTGGCATTTTCGAGTAATGTCGTTTGGTCTGTGTAACGCCCCGGCTACCTTTGAGAGACTCATGGAGCAAGTTCTGCAGGAGATTCCTTGCAGCCGTTGTGTGGTCTAGTTGGATGACTTGCTGGTTCACACCAAAGACTTTGCTCATGCTGTCCGCAATTTGCGGGAAGTTTTTGTCACCATCTGCCAGGCTGGGCTGCAGCTGAATCCCACTTAAGTGTGCCCTGCTCACCCGCCAAACCAATTTCCTTGACCATGTCATCAGTGAGCAGGGAATAGCAACGGACCCTGCTAAGGTTGCTGCGGTGAAAGACTGGCCAGTACCAAGGAGCACCTCGGAGCTGCGGAGTTTCATGAGGTTGGCATCATACTACTGCCGCTTTGTGAAAGGGTTTGCTACTACAGCGAGCCCTCTGGACCAGCTAATCGACAAGGGCACGCGGTTTGAATGGGGGGCAGAATCTGCTGCAGCTTTCCATCAGCTCAAGGCTGAGCTGGTCGGTGCTCCTGTTCTGGCTTACCCTGACCCTGAACAACCCTTCGTCTCGGATACGGATGCAAGCAACGTGGGAATGGGAGCCGTGCTCTCGCAGCCAAGAGAAGTTGGGGAAAAGGTTGTGGCCTATTTTAGCTGCAGCCTCAATCGAAGTGAGAGGAACTACTGTGTTACAAGGCGAGAACTACTGGCTGTGGTTTTGGCGGTGCAGCATTTCCGCCCTTACCTGTTGAGCACCAAGTTCAGGCTCCGGACTGACCATGCTAGTCTTATTTGGTTACTTAACTTTAAACAGCCAGATGGCTAGGTGGCTAGATGGTTGGGGATCTTACAAGAGTACGATTTTGAGATCCAACACCGTCCGGGTCGTCAACATGCCAACGCTGATGCTCTCTCCCAGTGACCCTGCCTAGTAACTGAGTGCTGCTACTGTTTCCGCCAGGAGGAGCGTGAGTCAGACCCTGTCCTAGCAGCCACAGGAGAGCAGGAACAAACTGTCAGCGGCAGCAGCAGTGACCGCCAACGCTCAGGAGTGAGAGCTGTTCTCCATGGAGGAGCTTAAGGAGCAGCAGGAGGCTGACCCAGTTCTGGCAGAAGTAAGAAACTGGGACAAAAGGAGACCAGACTGGCCAGCCGTGTCTTCACAAGGGACTGACCTGAAGATTCTACATGCTCAGTGGGGCAGTTTGTAAATTAATGGCGGGGTGCTGTATAGACGCTGGCAGGCTCCGGAAGGAGGAGTAGATCATCTGCAGCTCTTGGTGCCTCCCAGCCTCCGTCCCGAGGCATTCTGGGTTCACGGTCCAGCTGGGACTGGACATTTTGGAAATAACAAAACTGTCCGGCGGCTCCGGCAGCAGTTCTACTGGTCAGGTTGCCGTCAGGACGCGGAGTTACACGTCCATTGCTGTGATGTCTGCACTAGCCAGAAGGGTCCCAACCAATGTTCCCGAGGGCCGTTACAGCAGTACTTGGTTGGGGCGCCGATGGAAAGGGTCGGTGTGAACATTCGGGGGCCTTTCCCCACTACGGAGGCTGGCAATCGCTATGTCTTGGTGGCCATGGACTATTTCACCAAGTGGCCAGAGGCGTATGCAATGCCAGACCAAAGCGCTGCATCTTCAGCTCAGCGGTTGGTGGATGAGATGTACTCTCGTTTCGGAGTGCCTGAGGAGCTGCACAGCGACCAAGGAAGGAACTTCGAGAGAAAGCTGTTCAGCGAAGTGTGTCAGAGGTTGGGGGTGAAAGAAACCAGAACCACTCCCCTTTACCCGCAGAGTGACGGGTTGGTGGAGCGGTTGTTTCTCACTCCAGCTACTCAGTTAGCTATCCTCACCAGCCAGCATCATAGGGACTGGGACCTGCACTTGCCTCTTGTGTTGTGGGCTTACCGCACCGCTGTTCAGGAATCCAGCCAGAGCACTCCTGCTGTTTTGATGTTTGGGAGGGAACTCTGGACACCAGTGGACTTGGTGTTTGGGTCAGCTCCTGAGCCCGAGATAATGGGAGGACCAGAGCTGGATTATGTGAAACGACTGAAAGAGCGCACAAAGGAGATTCATCAAATGGCTCAAACAACCCTGCTTGAAGCTGGAGCTTGCCAGAAATGGGCTTATGACTCTAGAGCTCATGGACCATCTTTTGTACCTGGGGACAAAGTCTGGGCGTACTGTCCTGTCCGGAAAAAAGGCATTTCCCCTAACCTAATGAGCAATTGGCAAGGACCTGGAGAGATCTTGGATCAGATCTCTGAGGTGGTGTTCCGAATTCGCCTACCTGGACGAGGCCGGCGAGTGGTCCTTCACAAGGACCGTTTGGCACCATATCGGCCACAAACTGTTGTGCTTCCATCTGCTGATGGGGGTGGTCCCCCATCCCTTTTCGACAACACGGGACTGGCCAGAGACGTGGTGGTGGATGGAACTGTGGTGGGAGGTGTTGACCCGGGGAGGCCGGTGCGTATTCGGCGCCGGCCGGGTCGATTCAGAGACTTTGTGCTTGGGACATTGAGGGTTGTGAGGACAATTAACCCACTAAGAAGGGGGTTGTGTAGTGACCCCGCAGTGGTGTGGTGCATTGTGGGAGTAGGTCATAAGTGACCCCGCCCACTGCCAGGCTAAGCAGCGGTGTGGTGCATTGTGGGAGTAAATCACAGTTGTTTCTTCCATTTTCGTTGTGTTCTGTACAGCTGTATTGTTCTGGGTTATGTTAGCATTGTTTTACTTTTTAGTGTATAATATGTGTTGCTGCCAGTTAGTATTACTTTCAAACCATGAGTTGGTGTTCCATGCTGGCAGATAAGAGTGGGGAGCTGCTCAGTGTTAAAAATAATGTTGTTGACTGCCAAGTTGACATCAGCGTCTGTGCTCATTGGCTGAAACTCCTTCCGGCAAGCTGCGCTACATTATGATTAATGATACTGCCACTTCTTTGCTCTGTCCAGTGTTGCCAGATGTACGATAATTATCGTATTTGTACCATAATTTTGGGCTCTGTACCATGTACGATCAATAGTTTAAAAAATCCTCAAATGTACGATAATTTCACATTGCACCTAGTAACATCGTCTTTTGCTGTGGCTTTCCCAAGTCCATTACATAATTTTAAACTGTTCTGAAGTCAGATTTCACCTCAGTGCTTACAGGTTTATGCTATTGTGTCTATTACAAAAACTGACTCTGGATCTGTACAATAAATAGCCCAATCACATCGATAGGGCCTACTCTGGCGAGAAACTGTAAGGTTATATAATGTGGAAGTGTCCCGCCAGTTTTTGCTGTTTGCCCGCTAGCGCGCCGAGTTAAGTCTAAGCTAGGAGGACAGAGCGACGAGACAATGGCTTCTAATCTTAAAAGAAAAACCAGAGAAGGGACAGATGAAGGTAAAGCAAAGCAACACCGGACACAAGTTTATCGTCCTGCGTGGGAGTTGGACCCTATTGTCAAAGGATGGCTTGCACCTGTTACGGGGAACGAAACCAAGGCTTTCTGTCGTTGCTGCAACATCCAGATGGTATCAGAAATCACCATTCTCTAGAATCATGCAAAGGGAGCTAAACACAAAGAAAGGGTAAAATGCATTGCGCCAAACCAGACATCTATACTTAAATGTCTCCAGCAAACTAATGAACAAGAGAAGTTTGAAAATGATGTGAAAAATGCTGAAATCAAGCTATGTGGCTTTTTAGCCGAGCACAACATTGCAATGAGAAGCACAGACCACTTAGTACAGGTGATGAAAGGCATTCTGCCGCGACAGACAGTGAATCAGATGAGGAGATCGAGATCAGCAACTAGGTGAGTAGGCTGCTTTGTCATTTATTGGGTCAGTTTTTCCACTGCTGTGATGTTTTGTCGCGTGCGTTTAACCTATGTAGAAATGGCATAAATAGGACTGCGCAAATGTGCATATTGTGTCAATGCGTGGAGGTCGGAGTGGTGTCGACACACTGCACGTTTATAGGCATTATATTACTGGTTTTAAAGATGTTTATTTAAACAGGGCAATATAAAACACCTTCTTTGTTATATTAAATTGGAGTGAGAAGTCGTTTATAGAACGTTATTATCAAATTTATAATGTACAATAAATTGTACTGAAAAACGATAATTTAGGCCTCTCTGTACGATATTGTGGGATTTTGGATCTGGCAACACTGGCTCTGTCTGGCTTTAGCTTGGCCTGTGTCCATTTCCAGCATTTTCATGTTGTCAGGGATCTTACCCAGCTTTGGAAAATGGATGATAAATGTCTCCTCTGACATCCAATCTGGGGTCTGATTAGCAACGCCCCCCCATAATCCATCCCATTTGAACATGATTAGGAGACAAAACTACAACTTTGAGTGTAATGACTCCCATAGGCACCCATCAAAAATACACGCTTGCTTGTCTAGGGCTACATCCCACAATGCATTGTGGCATTAAGTCACAGTATGTTTTTAGATAGGCCATTTGACTTGTTCCAGTTGATAATAGTTTGAAATGGATGAAAACATCAGTTTTATTACAGCTGGGAGAGAGGTATGTGGGTTTGAAGGAAGAGTAAAATATCATCTGTATAAAGGCAGACTTTGTGTGTCGACTTTCTGCATTTTATACCCTCAATGTTTGTTTTGCCAGACTGCAAATACCGACTAGACTGATAACTTGTAACATGGGAACAAATCTTTAAAAAGACCAGACATGATTCATACCTGGCCACACTGTAGGCATCATTTATTGACTCAGTCAAAAAAATAAATAAATCAAACTTTTATTTTCAAATGTAAATATAAAAAAAATGCTTCCTCTACGCAGCAAGAGATGTTTCTGCCCAAACTGAAACAATAATTAGAAATATTTAAACACATACATAAAGAATTGAAGTCACACCACACAGATCACAACACTTTCCAAATTTTATATAGGAAGTAAATGCCAGACTTGTGCTTAAGAGTCTACAGAGAATAAGGTAGGGTTAGGGTGACACCTGACCAGTTACTGCCCTTGAGCACACCTGTCACAGACACATACCGGCACGTCAGGCGTTACTTCCCATCATTAAAAGTATTCCTATTTAGTTTGAGTAAAACGAGACCAGGACACGTTCAGACAAAAGCAGCAAGGTGGTGTTGCTTCCATGAGGTCGGGAGCCGTTCTGGCGTTTGCTTCTCGTTTCTGGATGCTCATAACCCTCCCACTGTCTTTATGGGTGTGACCCCGCGAGGGAAGTTGACCATTGAGTAGGGTTGATGGTAAAGACAGTGGGAGGGTTAAAGCAGATTGGCACACAGGAACAGCTGGGCTGTTTAATCTAAACACATTTCACTCACTGCCAGCTTATACACCAATACGTTTCAGGGATGTAACCTGGTGTTTCTCTTGACCTTCAGGAAAATCTTTAATGGTTTAATGGTTAGTGGTTTTTAGCTCCATCACTAACAGAACCGACAGCTGTGTTTAATCTGACACAACAGTGACCCACTGCTACATCTATAATGGAGCATCATCTGGACCTTTGAGGTCTTCGCCACTAAAGATGGCCAACACTTCTCTGCTTGTAGCTGCATATTTCTGCATCACTCTTTTTAATTCATTACACATAAAAACGTTTGTCTTAATGAACTTAAGTCCTAAATGGTTTGCACTGTTGGAGACGGATAGGTGTGAGGTCATTAGAGGCATCAGCAGGACACCACAACTTGTGTGATGTCACAAACAACAGTTATTCTGAACATGGTTTATTTTATTTTCTACATTAAATAAATAAATAAATAAATAATAGGACAAAGGAACCGTTAAGATTTACTCTAACACAATGAAACTTCCACCCAGTGGAAAGGTTGTAGTGAGCAGACAGGTCAGATGACTTACATCAGCAACAATAACAGCTTTAAATAAGGCAAAGTGAAGAAGTCCAACCAGAGCACACACATTGGAAAACGACCTCCTGGACACAGAGGGAGCAGCATCATGGTGGTGTTGGTGGAGTACTTGCATAGATCGATACAGCTGCAGTCTTCACCAGTTGTTTCACAAACTATCAAACTTGTGTTGTAAATAATCTTTCATAACCTTTGCAACGGGAAGGTCCTCCAGCAGCTTTAGGCTCTGCAGGCCGATGGAACGACGGATTTGTATTCGACACAAGTCCTGTAGCGTCCGAGGCTGCCCTGGGAGAGCAACACAAGCCAATACTGAAGTTATGATATTCTTTACACAACATTAAAGAAGAGTGAATGGCTCTTTGACACATGTCAACAGGTGAGATGACTAAAACATTCAGTTACATCATACAGAAGTAGACAGAGCATAGCTGCAGGACTTACTAGTGACCTCCTGCAGGAAATCCAGACAAGGGCGGCTGATTCCAGACATGCTAACAGACACAGCGACGGGAGTCTGGCCCTCGTAGTTTCTGATGTTGATGTTAGCTCCGTATGTGTAGAGCATCTGGGCACATAGCATGTCATCCCTGAGGGCTGACAGATGCAGAGGGGTCTGTCCATCTTCCAGACGGCCAAGGTTTGTGTCTGCTCCCCTCTGCAGGAACATACGGCAGTAGGAGTGGTTTCCTTTTATGACCGCGTAACGGAGGAGAAAACCATTTTGAATGTCAATATTGGCACTGTGGTCCAGCAGGATGCGCACGCAGCTGGATCGTTCACGAATGATGGCCAACTGAAGGGGGGTTGTTCCTTTGTCACTGAGTGGGTCTACCTCAGCCCTGAACTCAAGGAGGAGGCGCACAAATGAGTCACGGCCGTAGTGAGCTGCCACATGAAGCGGCGTCCAACCATCATTGCTTTTAGCATTAATGATATCTCCACAAAAGTCCGACTCCAACATCAGCCGCGCGATGCGGGCCCTGCCATGCATGGCAGCATAGTGCAGCGCTGTGAAGCCACCTATGAAATCCTTCACCCTGGGGTCAGCTGTGCAAGGCAGAACGAAGGAAAAAGGTCAAAGGTCAACATCCCAAGTGAGCATGAATTATAACTCTGTTAAGCCTGCCGCACATGAGAGCAAACTGCTGAGCAAACGGCCTCGAATGACTCAGCAGATACCTCGTTGTGTGCGCCCGGTTTTCTGCCTCACCTCGCTGAGGTGAAAATCAAACCGGTTTGAACATTTCTGCCTCACGTGGGGTAAAAACTCAACGTGTGCACACAGCGTGAGCTGCCAGCTGAGCTGAAATATTCTAATGGCCAATCAAAGAGTGTTCTCTGCTCACATGATTCCAAGATGGCAGCCCCCTGTTTTAAACGGAGACGGAGCTGGAAGCGGAAGAAATGCCTCTACTTTTTTTGTTGCGGAAAATATCAAATCGTATCTTGCCAAGCAAACGTCCTGGAATGACCGTTTGCTCTGCGGTTTGTTCTGGTGTGCGACAGGCTTTGGGATGTCTACAGCTACCTGCCCCACAGCTGTGAGACCACTCACTGGCTGCTACAGTTAGAAAAATCCAACATTACAAAAGCAGAATTTGAGTGGGCTGCCCGGCAAATATGATCACCTCCATGTTCCAGAAAAACCCGAACACATCGCTCTTTCCCTTTTGCAGCAGAGAAATGCAGCAAAGTCCAGCCGTTAGCGTCCCGTATCTGAGGAGAGTATCCTCGCTCCAGCATCCTCCTAACGGTGCACACATCC